ATATGGAAAAAGACCCCCCCCAACAAAAAAGCAAAGATCAATATGCCAATCCTTCTCCAAAGTAATAAACAAATAACCCACTTGGTTTATTTAAAAAAAGACTGAATTTGAAAACAATCAGCCCTTCCCAAGTTTCTAAGTCAATGGAAACACAGTATCAGCATTCTAATTTTGGTGAGTGCTTAAAGAACAAATATTCTCAATCTCCTTTTACAGTCTGAGAAATTGAGGCTCAGGGAGCCCAGAGACGTAATTACCAGATCAAACAATTAGCTAGGGACAGGGTTGGGACCAAAACTTGAGTCTCTTAAATTCCAATCCAGTGCTCTTTCTTCTACACCCTGCTACTACCCAAAAGCAAAAAATTTAAAATAAATTTTAAATGCAAAATTTTTAAAGCAGTGTCGTAGACGTCGTCCACTGGGTAACCCCATACCTAGTCCCAAAGCCCTGCTTCCTTCTACCACAGAAGCTGGAAAGGTTTCTTTCCCAATCTCCCCTGTAGCTAATGGTGGCCAAGGACATCATTCTGCCAACACGACAGAAGCAGAAAGCAAGCCGGGGCTTCTAGGAAAGTTTCATTTTTCTGATTTAGGGGAAGATCAAGCTGGCACCATCCCTTTCACTCCCTGCCAGAAGCTAGAACAGTCATCTGGCACCTCAGAGGACAAAGGACCTAAAGAACAGTGAACCAGAAAAACACAAAAAGCCTGAGTCTTTGATGGCATCACTGAACAACTGAACCAATACCAGTCACTGTCAACTTCCAGGCTGCTTGTGAGAAAAAGCAAATCCCAGTTATTTAGGTCACTGTCAGACTTTCTCTTACTTAGAGTCAAATGCATTTCTAAGTAATACAATCAGCATTCCCAAAGTACTCAATGTAAATAGGTATTACTTCAAAACAGGTTCTCAGTCAAATATGGGTTAAATATACATTAAATAAAATTAAGTAGGAAAGTGATTTGGGGGAAGATAATAGCTGCAACATAGTTTTTCAATCTCTGAATCCCCAGGATATACAGACAGCACCTGCATAGAAAAATGAAAAACCTATGTACAAATTACAACAAAAGCAGATGGTACGGTATTTCCCATGAATACAAAACCCTAGCAGGTGAGGACAAGCCACCCACAGTCATAAGATATGCATGGATTAGCATTTGTGCAGGAGGAAGAAGGAACAATGGAATGACATCTGAGAACAAGAGAACCCCAAAATAGCTAGTAAGGGTTCCCTGGAAAGAGCCCTGGTGGCACAGTGGTTAAGAGCTTGGCTGCTAACCAAAAGGTCAGCAGTTCGAAACCACCAGCCGCTCCTTGGAAACCCTATGGGGCAGTTCTGCTCTGTCCTATAGGGTTGCCATGAATCGGAATCAACTCGATGGCCCAACAGCTAAAGCTGGGAGGTAGTTCTAGCCTCTTCAATACCACAGCTCACATTAAAATTAAAGTGGTTGAGCAGTTCAGCAACTATGGAGTCTCAAAACTGGCCTACCAGGGCTCCCTTCTAGGACAGAGCCTCATACTAAGGAGAAACTGCTGGGAGTAGAATAAAAATTGAGCGAGATAATGACAATAGAGACAAAGGAAACAGAAAACCCAGATCAAGTGTGGTAGGGGAACAGAACCAGAATTATTTCATAGAGAAAGTTGCCAAATTTTTGAATGCTACACGAAAAACAACAGATGAGGGAACTCTGTAAAATTAGGAAAGTTTAATTGAATCTTGTCTCATTCTAAAACTGATTTCACATAAAAATGAGCAATAGAAAAGTATTTGAGTATTTAAAGTATTCAAGTCCTTAGACAAAGTTATTGTATGAAAAAAGAAGATGCCAAACATCTATCTCAGACTTAGAATTTTCTTCAGATTCTACCCTGAAAATCACAAAGCCACCCATGTGCATAGCAACCGCTGGTTACTTGATATATGTTTTGAGACAGGGTTATGTTCTCTGTGGGTCCCTAGAGTACTAAAACACACTGAAACAAACAATATTTCTACTGGAAAAGCCATTTTCAGTTAAAGCAGGGGAAGCTTTAAAAGGAAAGATCACAGTTCACAAGAATAAGAAAGATCTATGTTCTCTCATTGTGACCCTCACATTGAATAAGTCAGCTTAAATTTATGGTCTCCAGTGAAAAAGCCACAAAAGCACAACTAATTTACAATTTTTAATGTGGGGGTGAGGTAGGGTGGCTGGAGAACGTTCTGGGAGGGTGATTTTATGTGAATGCATGGATGATGGGTCCTTTCCTAACGAGTCTTCTCAATAAGAGGGAAGCATTATTCAACTGAGGAAAGGTACCAACTGACCCTTGTGCTCCATCCATATAATCTTATTTTTGGAAGTCTGGTCAGCCAGATTTAACCAAAGTAAGCCCAACATTCAGTTTAGCCGTACTGAAAATCATTTAAATCGGCCCAAAGTTGGAAGAGATAATCTTTTGTTCTTTTTAAGAAGTCTTCTTCCTATAAATTTTGAACAGTAGTATTTGATTAGCTATTTGGATTATGTTTTATTAAACCAGTAACTATACGCAACTATTACACATTTTATTGCACACTTGGGGAATAGTTTTTAATTGTATTATTTGCTAGAATAGCAGGATATGATGGATTAAAGAACAAGTGTAAGGGACTAAAATATAGAAAAGAGAGCATTGGCCTTCTCATGTAAATCCTATCTGAAGGCTGCTTAATTGATCATCCTATCCAGCATACCTATCATTCTCATTTTGTAGCTTCCACCCTCTCTGTAAATATTATTTGGCCATATAGTTTTCTAGTACTGCCCAGGAAATCTAATTTCAATACATGTATTCTATGTTTCGTACAAGTTTTTAAAGATCTAGATAAATGTGTACTCATTTACTAATACCTTCTTCAAACTAGATTTATGTGTAAAGGTTAAATATACTTATATCACTCTTAAAAACAAAAGAGGGAGCAAAATAACATGCTTACAGACAATGAAAGCACATCAGAAAGATGTGCCCACAAAATAGAACAGATTCGTAGCCTACTATTTCAAAATGAGGTAAAAGACTTTAAGAAAATAAATCCATACCTAGGCATATCATATTAAAACTTCTGAAAACTAAGACAAACAATGAATCTTCAAAAAAGTAACAACGATACTAACAGCTTACAAATGGAAGCCATAAGACAATGTAGTACCTTCAAAGTGCTGGGGGAAAACTGGCAACCAGACTTCTACACCCAGTGAAAATAGCCTCCAAAAATGAAAGTGAAAATAAAAACACTTTTAGACAAATGAAAACTGAGAGAATTCATCACCAGCAGATCTACCCTAGAGGAAATACTCAGGGATGTTCTACAGAAAAAGGAAAATGATGCAGGAAGCAAATAGAGCCACAGAGAAGGTATGTGAATAAATCTAAGTGAACATTGGTTATAAAAACTAGAATAATAATGTTTTATAAATTTTTAAATACACACAGAATTAAAATACATTACAACAATAGCATATAAGTGGTGGGCGGGGACAGGCAGAGTTAAAGTGTTCTAAGGACCTAGCCTTGACTGAGAAGAGGCAATTAACAATAGACTCTGTAAGTTACAGATACATATTATATTCTTTAGGGCAGTCACTAAAAAAAAAAAGTATAAAGCTAACAGAGGAGAACATAAATAAAATACTAAATTGAATAAAATAAAAACAAGATATTTCCAATAATGGCAAACTAGGCAATTCAGATCAACTCTCCCACAGAGAACAAGAATAACAGGACAAAATATAGGGGAAAAAAATGATCTGAAGGCATTGGATAGATGTTAAGGCAGCGAAAAAGGACAAGGTTAAGATCCAGGAGAAGGAGGAAAACCAGAGAGGTGAATTCTGCCTAAGAGCCACAGCAGGGATGGGCTGGTAACACAACAGGAGCTTCACCGTTAGAGGTCCCCAGAGAGGAGATGGCAAACAGCAGAGCCCCTCACAAAGATTTCAGAAGACACGCAAGCCAAATTTGCTTGCTAATCAACAAGGCTTGAGAGATGCCCCAGGTCAGGAAAGCCATACTATCAGAAAATGAAACAGAAAAGGTTCTAGTAACAGGAAAAGAGGCAAAGGAGAGTGAGAGGGGAGAGGTAGAGGACTCACAACATTTCAGTTTAAAAAAATAACTGCGTTCTCAATGGCTGTCAATTCTACCTCTGAAATATACTTTACACCTGGCCCCTTCTCTCCATCTCCACTGCTTTCACCTCTCCTCTGGACAACTGCACCTGTCTCTGACAGGCTTCCCTGACAGCTGTGACTTCCTCTTGCAGTCCACTCTTCTGCACTGCAGCTGAAGTGGTCTCAACTGAACAGCAGAGTGGGCAGCAGCATCTATAGAAGTGAAGCTATGGCAGAGGATCTGAACTTTCTCTTCAAGACCATTTCACTCTCCCAGTCAATGGCAACTTTTTCCCCAGATTCTGCCTAAATCAAGTCAATCTGTCAGTCTCACCAGTGCCCTGAAAGAGTTCATTTATTTCTTCTGGACAAACACTTTATTCCCCAGAGAGGATCTTAGCTGTCCTGGTTTACTTAAGTATGATTCCTTCATACATTCATTCAGTGACTGATGATGTACTAAGTGATCTACTAAGGAGCCCTGGTGGCGCAGTGGTTAAGTGCTCGGCTGCTAACCAAAAGGTCGGTGGTTTGAATCCATCAGCCACTCTGCAGGAGAAAGATGTGGCAGTCTCCTTCCGTAAAGACTGTAGCCTTGGAAACCCTACAGGGCAACTCTACTGTGTCCTATAGGATTGCTATGAGTTGGAATCAACTCGATGGCAATGGGTTTGGTTTTGGTTTAAATTATCTACTACATAATTAGGTACTATTCCTGCCTGCTGGGAGCTGGGGAAGGACAGGGAAGGAATGTAATACGTGCCATAATAAAGATTATTTGATATTAAAAAAAAAAAAAAATCAAAAAACCTGCAACAAACTCATCAGAAATTTGGTATTCTGAGCTAATACTACCTGGCTTTAGAGGGGAATACTCTTCCAAAAGTCCTTCGAATCCACAAATACAAGAACTTTCTGGCCACACATCTGAAAGAAGGAAAAAGAAAGGATA